ACTAATCCGCTAAATCAGTGGTTCCCCTGGTATCCTTCGACTGCAACTCCCAGAAAGTCTGGGAACCACTGTACTAGAGCCATATTCTTTCAATATACAAGGTACATGTCTGGAACACAGGCCCTTTCCCTAAATGTCCATCATGTGATGAAAACCACAAAGATAGGTTTTAGCTGTGGCTGGGGGGCTAGCTAGCAAGACCCCACCACCACCACCTCCATTTGCTACATGAAGAACTGTGCATGTTTAGTCTTGAGAAAAGAATTATAAGGGGAGACATGGTAGCACTTTTCAAATATAAAAGGTAGTCATACAGAGGAGGGGGTAGGATTTGTTCTTGATCATCCCAGAGTGCTGGACACGTAATAATGAGCTCAAGCTATAAAAAGCCAAATTTAGGCTAAATATCAGGAAAAACATCCTAACTGTTAAGAGCAGTACGACAATGGAACCAATTACCCCAGGAGGTGGTGAGCACTCCAACGCTGTAGCCATTCAAGAGAAACTTAGACAACCACCTGGCAGATATCCTTTGATTTGTATTCCTGCATTGAGCAGGGGATTGGACTCAACGGCCTTATAGGCCCCAACTCATTTATTCTATGACTCCTCCCTATTATGAAATAATCAAGGGTTGAGAAATCAGCTGAGATAGACACACACATACAATACCTTTTATGAAATCAGCTGTATTGCTACTGACTGTAGTCCTATGCTATGGTTTCATAAGCAGCAAAAAGCTCTAACCATGTAAGTACAGCAGGCGTAAGATTAGAGACCTCTCAGAAAACCCACAAATAGAAAGGCCCCCCCCATCAGTTCTGATCCACCCCCACCCAGGTATGGCACTTTGCACAGCTGTTTCTCAATGCATTCTACAGCACACACGCACGCACGCACACCGGACTCTAAAATGGAGTCTCCCTTTCTCAGCTTTTGCCTGCCTGATGCTGCTGCAGGAACAGGAGCAGCACCAGTGGCAGATTCTATTTATACTCCATGCATGTAAAACTAGAGGAGGGGAGGGAAAAGGAAAGAGGGAGAACTTGCTCAGAGAGAGAGAGAGAGAGCTGAAGGGTGGATGCAGCAGTCGCTGTATCTCTTCCACCGTCCCCACCCCATAGAGATACACCCTTCAGTGAAGGCAGCCAGGACAGTTGGGAGCGGCAAGCAATGCAGTCATAATGCTGTATATCCAGCGCAAGAGGAGGCTGGCAGCCTCGAAGCCTGACATCCCAGAGCAGGGAGCAAAGATGGCCTCCCTCAGCACTTGCCCAGCCAACTGCCAGGTCACTCCCCTGGCTGCAGGAAGATGAAGGGGGGGTAGGCTGCATGCAAGAAGGTGACACTGACCTATTCAAAGGCAAATCCTCCCCCTTCACCCACTCTATAGCCTTGCAGACTTAAGGATTGGCAGCCCTTCAGAGAACTGACCCTCCCCCTTTATTAGAAAGAAGCCTCTCACTTCCTTTCTCCTCACACTTCCCCCCCCCAGCCCTAGTAGCTAGTTGTAGTAGGCCTCCAATCTCTCTCCAGATGTCAGTGTCTTAAAATGAACCCAAACCTTCCACTGCAGGCTTTGTCTAGCATCCTTTGCGCCAGACCTAGGGGGACTCTTGAGCCTCAGCGGGGGGGGGGTATGGTATGGAGAAGGTGGATGGAGAATATTCCTTGCAAGGACTTTTCTGCCACACTAGCTTTCATGCCCGTGTACCTTTAAGCCCTCCCCCCCTGTTTGTAGGGTGCAAGTGCTGCCTTTGTTCTGCAAGGATAGAGGTATATGGGATGGTAAAGCCAGATCTGATTACCATCAAGGGTGAGGCCACTGTTTGGATCTGCCTAAATGCAAGGCAGAGAGCAACCAGCACCCCGACTACTCAGGAAGCACGGAAGGGTGGCCGGCAGTTGAGCACACTAACACGAGAAAACCCTTCCATGGCTCTAAATGTCCTGAGTCTCAAGGTCAGGATGAATCCTCTGTCCCTAAAGAAGCATACCAGGTCTGCGTACAGGGGCGTTAACTCTTCTGCTCATCCAAGCATGCTGAGCAGATAAGTCTTTAAGCCTTCCCTGGGTTTTTATTAATGCCTTCAGATCCCCACCATGTTTAGCTGCAAAGTCAGACAGATGTGTAAGACAAGGCAGAAGGGAGGGCAGCAAAGCGGCCGTTTTTTATGCCAGAGAACCACAACGGGCTGTAATCCCATGGGGACACTGCAGTAAAGACGGCTCCCAACCACATGCAGCAGTCGTGGTGGGCAGGGACAGTGCTACCAGGAGCCGTGGCAGCTGTCTGGGAAAGTCTCAAAGAGTGGCAGCCCAGCGGGCAAGTCACTCCCTCTCCAGGAGGTTACAGGCTAGCAGCTGGGGTTATTCATAGATCCGGTCCCTCTCTCTCCCCCAGAGGACTTACTTGCTCAGCTCTCAAACATGAGGGAAAGAGAGCTTGGCAGGGATGACTCAAGCCTGGGTCTCACCGAGGTGGGAAACCTGTATGGCCTCTCTACTACTTCAGGAGACAAGTGGTGGAGGGGTGGTTCCTCCCCAGAGAAAACAGGCAGCTATCAAAAAAAAAATGCCTAAGCTAGAGACCTCCTTTGACTTTTTGAGGGTGGGGTTGCCAGTAGGAACTATTTCCTCTTCCCTTATCTCAGGAACTGCCCCCCCACCTCTAATGGTGTTGGACTTTAACTCCCAAAGGCTTTGGGGAACACAGTCAAGGGTAAAGGCTTATGGCAGTTGTAGTCCAAAACATCCAAAAGGTCCCCCCCTTCCCTTTATTTATTTATTCTATTTATACCCCGCCTATCTGGTCATTGTGACCACTCTAGGCAGCTTTGCCTGTCCTGCAGTTCTGAGGTATTCTGATCCTCTCAAGGATAGGCCTTAAAAGCCACACTAGGAAGCCACCACCTTCCCCCCCCCAAAGGAGGGAAAAAGTCCTTCAGAGGAGTGTGGATGGGTGGGGGAGAGAGAGAGAGAGAGAGCCAGAGGGAGAAGATGTGAAAGGGGAATATGGCCTTCACCTAACAGCTGCTCTCAAGGAAGGACACGAGGGGCACTTTCTTGCACTGCCGTAAATCCAGCGTCCCCACTCTGGATGGCAAGACCTGTTTTCGCCAGCAAGGGTGGAGCACGCCTGAAGGTCAAGACGGGAAGGCGCACGACACTATGTTCCTGACCTACTTCTTCTCCCTCAATGAGCAGCAGCCTCCCTTTCCTAGGGGCAGCCTTGCCTACTAGGCCCGGCCAGAAGCCTGCCAGTCAGTGGATACAAAGTAACACGAGGGAATAGGAGGCTTGCAAGAAAGAATCATATTCTCCGCAATAAGTAAAAGGCACAATGGTGACACTGCAAGACCCAGAACTACTTTCCATTCCCTCTAGTGCCAAAGGAGACCGTGAAGCTAAAGTTACATTTTTTTAAAAAATTTAGTTACAGGTGCCTATTGAATTCCAGGAACGAACCCCTGGGCAGGCATAACCTAAGCAGTTACTTTCAAGGTGCTCCTTAAAATCCAGGAAGCACCAGCATCCCGGATTCTTTAGGGCAAGCCATTCTCAATGGGGTGGGGGCAGCATATGGCACCTTTGAAGGGGAACACAGACTAGAAACAATTCTTCACATACCACCTTATAAGGTGGGTTACCTGATTTATACAATCTGGATTTGGCCTATATTTCTTTCATGTTGTGTTCATGGGTGTAACAAAAAAAAGGGGGGCTGAGAATAGAATGGCTGCTCTAGGATACAGCACAACCTTCCCGCTTACAGAGTGTAGCTCTTTGATGTGGAAAGGAATAGAACGTCCCCACATCAAGACTGTTTTACCCAAGCCCATTTTTCTACACCACATTCCACAAACTTCTCACAATCCTTGACCAGCACGGTCCCTTCTCCTGCCTGTATGTATCTGAAATCTACCATAGCTTCCCCAGAAGCAAATGCATATGGAATGGCAGGAAGGTACATTCAGATTCCTGTTTACATCCACCTGGGGATGGGGCTTGCAATCTTCGGTGAAAGAGTTCCCAGCCTCACCAAGCAGCATAAGCTTAAAGGCTTCATGGGAGGCGTGGGGTTGTGGGGGGGGAGAGAGGAAGGGTGTCTGGCTTTATAAAATGCCAGATCAGCACAACCTGTCATAACCCAGAATTACTGGTTCAGGCTTACTCTCCATCATGCCTTGAGACTGACTGGATCTGCACTAAAAACTCCGGAATAACCAGCAGAACCCAAGTGAAGAGTTGCGGGGTGCGAAGGGGGAGAGGCCACGTGCTTCCGACTCCTTCGCCAGCACTGCAGCGCTGGGGAATCTGTTCTTCTTCGCCGGTGGAGGAACGGGCGAGGCGGTTACGATGGGAGGCGATCGCAGACGCCTTCCCACCTCCTACTGGGATTTCTTCACTAAGGGAAAGAGTGGAAGCCATGTTGGCGGCCGCATTGCAGAGAGATCCACCCAGTCCAGCCGCCGCCGCCGCCACATAGGCAGCCCTCCCCCGGGCGGCAAGGGAGTTCAGGACTGACCCGTCAAGAAAATTCGGCTCTAGATCAGACACCAAATGCCGCTGCCGCCTCCGCCACCCTCCTTGCTCCGTCGCAAATTGCCCTCCTCTCAGCGTCCCTCGGTCTCTTGCGCCTCCTCCCCCCCCCCCCGCGCTCCAGGCGCACCTTCAACCAAGCAGCCGTCCCACCGCGCCGGCATTTGCTGGGGGGGGGGAGGAGAAGGGAGGAGAAGGAGAATTCCTTCGCCCAATTTACCAGGGTCGCCGCCATCATCCACCCACCCGCTCCTTCGCCCCCTCCCTTGTCCCATGGGGGGGCAGCTCCAACCTTGGAGGCGAAAGAGCCCCCTCTCCTTCCCAGGGCTAAAAAGAGCCAAGATCTCTCTTCCGAGCGCGCCCCCCCCCACCCGGCGCCTCCGGGGCAGAATGAAGTCCCAGGCACCGAGCCATGCTCCTTCCTGCCGCTTCTCCTCCCTTCGTCCCTCCGCCCTAACCTTGGCCCCGATCTGGTTGCCACACTGGCCGGCCTGCAGGTGCACGATCTCTCTCATGGCTGCTCTCAGCTGCGCGCGGGCTCCGAGGTCGTCGTCGTCTCGCGGTTCCTCCCTGGCTCTCTGCCTCCGGCCCGCTGCTCTAATGCGCCTTAAATGGGCCCGATTGGGGGAAGAGCAGGGAAGGGCTTGGCGGGGGGGGGGGGGGCACTGCGCATGGGCGGCCGCTGCCTGCCTGCCTGCCTGCCAAAGCCACGGCCACGTCTCCCCACCCCCGACCCCGCCTTTCTTGCCCGGCGCCTGCTCCTCCTGTAGCGGCGGCCCGGCCGTGGGGCTCGGCGCTTTCTCTCGGCTGTACGCCACCTCTGGCCTCGTGGACGAATTGTGCCGGCGTCTTTGCCCTCCATAGGTGCTGGGGTGGGCTAATTGTGGGTCATCTGGGGGGAAAGAATCAGGAAGACGCTTTGTACGTGCTCAGAGGAACTGCTGCCGTTCTTTCTAGGGCCAGGCTCCTTTGACGCCTAGAGGAGACGCCATGAGAGAGTCAGGAGCGGAGATGTCTCCAAAGGGGAAAGTCTCCCGTTCTTGCAGACATGGAGGCGTTGCGGTGGCCTCTCGTGTGTGCGGGGGTTGGGGGGTGGGTGGAGGGCTGTCTCCCGAAATTTTTCTCCCCAAGGCTGGGGAGAAGATCCCTCCCTTCCTCCCCACTATTTCGCCTACAGAAGTGAACTGGGCCGGAGGCTAATCCTGACTTCAGTATTGACAGTGGAAGGCTTGTCCTCCGTCGTCTCCGAGGAAAGCAGGCTATTTTAGGGGCCGCCTAGGACGGGCTGTGGGGGGGGGGCACACCCCACCAAGCCAGGGGAATAGCTGGGGCCAGCCAGACTCGGAAGGACCAGCCGGGGGGATGCCTCGGCTACCGGCCTCACTCACTCGCTCTGCTTCAAGGTAGGGCTGCCCCCCCCCGCCCCCCAAGGTGGGTCAGCTCAGCCTCAGCTCCTGGTGCACCTTTGGATTGAGTCGGGAAGGGGGAAAAAGAGAGCCCCGCTTGAACTGCCTTTTTGGTTACGTGGGTAGGCAGCAAGGGCTTTTCTGGGAAAGAAGGAAAAACACGGCCGGGTAACTATATAAAAAATCCAAGTGTTTTTTGGTTTGCTTTTTTTCAGATGAGGGAGCTCAAAACTAATCGGCCATTGATTATATATTTTGCCTGCTTGCTGGTGCATTTTTACATCCCGTTATTTAAAGGACAAAATAAGGAAAAAATAGATCTGTCACGTTCTATTTAATATTGTTAAAACTAGTATTAGAATTTCATCCTGCTGTGTGCACTGGATTGACTCAATAGAGGAAGGATTCAATCCATCTCATATTCAGTTGTCCTCTTCCTGCTGTTTTCAAATTTTTCTAGCGTTATTGCTTTCTCCCGTGAGTCTTGTCTGTTCACATGTGCCCAGGTCAGTTATTTTTGCTCACAGGCTTGATTTGATCTAGCACCCACTGATTTATCTTCCCATGGTATCCATAATTTTTTTTTAAAAAGGCATACAAATGTATTGTTGAACCTTACTGTATTGAATGTATTTTGATGTTGCGTATGTTTTTGGTATTGTATTCATTGATCCCTTTAGTATTTTATGCTAATTATTACTAACTTAGATACTGTACTGTCTTTCAATCGTTGTAAGCTGTCTTGGATCATTTTTAAAGAGAAAGGCAGGTTAAAATATTATAAATGGAGTCATCCACTGAAATTGAATGAGGGAGAAATTCTGGACAAATAAAAGGAAGGTTAATTTTTTTTCAGAAAGGAGTCTGAAAGGAGGACATGAGGGCAATAAATATATAGCAGGGTCCTCCAGAAGAGGGTGTCCAGAAGTGTGTTGTCTCCAATTCTGAGGCTAGTAGCCATTGACAGGTTGATCCTTCGTGAATTCCTTTAATCCTCTTTCAAAGCTCTGCACGTTGGTGGCTAATACGACCTCTTGTGAGAGAACATTGCATGCTTTTAACAAGGCACTGTGTGAAAACGGTCATTGTTATGTTTTGTCAAGTTGGAAGTAACTCACAGTATAGTGACCCTAATAGGGCTTTCAAAGTAAGGAGTACCAATTCCACACTCCCAGTGAGTTTTCATGGCTGACTGGAGATTTGAACCTGGGCCTCCTGAGCCTGTTACTCTGTCCACTGCACCACGCTGGGTACTGTGACTCACATACTGGCAGAATTCTACCCTTAAATTGTATTCCAACTTAGGCACTGGGGGAAAGAGGCAGCATCCATCCACAAAAGCTTTTTATAAAGGCTTCCACAGCTGAACTCTTCAGGGCCATTCCAGAGTTGGAGATGAGGAGTGGGAAAGTTTGCAAGGCTTAGTGGTACAGGATAGTGGTTCCTTTTCACAATGCTAAACCATACCTTAATGCTATGTCTGAATGTGGTTGCTGTCTTTCCTCCCAAGACCCGTAATCGTGGCTACAAATGTATGTGCAGTTCTTTTGGAGTACACCCCATACACCTTGGCAAGCCTGTTCCCTTCCCAAAGAGAATCGGGTGATGGGATTCTGCCAGAGGTTGTTATGAGATCTGAGCGACTGCCACTTAGCACCTGAAAGCTTTCCAGACTGATGTCTGGTTGAAACTGCTGACGCTGTTTCCATCACCTGGTGTCTTGAAAACAGATTACCCAGTGCATCCATGTATAGCAAGCAACTTGGGACAGGCTAATATAGAATATACTTCTCTTCTTGTTGTTGCTGTTGTTTTAATGACTGTCAGCATTTCTCTAGATTAGTCTTAGTCTTACTCTTCACCCTTGCCTCCAGGTCACTTTGTTTCCTCTTGCTTTTCTGTCTTCACAGGACAAAAACAGGCAGAGCTGCAGAGGGAGAAGCCAGGTCTAGAAACTTCTGCAATAAAGCTACAGATTTATCCTTCTGCCCTATTTCTAAATGGATTTCCTACACATTAAGTAGTATGTTTCCTCTTTTGGCTTAATTTCAGCCTCCAGAGTGATTATTACTCCTGTTCAGTAGCAAGCTCAGCTGCTGCACTGGGCCACTAATAATTATTGATTTGATTTTTATACTGCCCTATGAGTGCAGAATGGTGGTGTGTGCAAGCACCACTCTGGGCAGTTTTAACAGTTAAAACCTAAAAGTCAATATTTTCCTATGAGAGCGGTTCTTAAGTCAAAATGTTCTTAACTCAAGCCGTTCTTAAGTCAAGACCCCACTGTAATAATTATTGATTTGATTTGATTTTTATATTGCCCTATGAGCGCAGAATGGTGGTGTGTGCAAGCACCACTCTGGGCAGTTTTAACAGTTAAAACCTAAAACCCCACATAACAAAATACTGTATATTTAACAATGTGGCAGTTCACAAGTATAGGTCTAAAATTCTTGCAAAATGTAACATTCAGATTAACAGTATCCAGGACAACCAGTGGTTGAAGGCAACTTTTAATAATTCTGTTTTCATTAATTTCCTGAACATAAGGAGGGAAGGATGCTGTTCTCATTTTGTAATTTATTTGAGAGACGGGGGGCCAACATCAAAAAAGGCCCAATTCCTTTTTATCACCTTTTTGGCCACCTTTAGCAACATGGATCGGGAAGAGAGTGAATTGGGTAACTGATTTCAGTGATAGACTTTCCAACAAGTATCGAAGTCCTAAGCCACTAAGGACTTTCTAGGTCATAACCAGCACCTGTTATTGAGCACAGAAACTGACATTCTAAGATGATACCCATTCTCACAACCATGTCCAACATGAACCTAAGCTTTCTCCAAAGCAATACACAGATGGACAGATCCCATGCAGCAAGGATAATCAGGCAACTGGACACCAAGCCTTGTGAGGAGAAACTGAAAGAACTGGGCATGTTTAGCCTTGAGAAAAGAAGATTGAAGGGAGATATGATAGCAATTTTCAAATGTCTGAAAGGTAGTCGTACAGGAGAGGGACAGGATCTGTTCTCTTAATCATCTCAGACTGCAGGACACATAATAATGGGCTCAAACTACAGGAAGCCAGTCAGAAAAAAATTTCTTAACTGTTAGAGCAGTACAACAATGGAAACAATTACTGTATTTTTCCGTGTATGAAACAATATTTTTTCCCTAAAATCATTAGAGGAAATACAGAGGATTGTTTTATGCATGGAAGAAGGTGGAGGCAAAGGAGCAGCCGTGCTCAGCCGCCTCTTGTAGCTGCCTATTGACAGCCGCCGCCGCCGCCACCCAATGGCCTCCTCCAGTGTGACTTGCCAGGGCTCACCTCCAGCTCATGTCGCCACGTTGTCCCCTGCCCAAAGGGAGCCCGTGAGTGGCGCTGGAGGAGGCGATCCGGCAGCAGTGGTTCAATAGGCAGCTGCGAGAGGCAGCCAAGAGCGACTGCTCCTTTGGCTCTGTCTCCACCTCCTCCTGCATCCACCACTGGATCACCTCCTCCAGTGCCATTCATGGGCTCCCTTCGGACAGGGGACAAGGTGGCGACATGAGCAGGAGGTGAGCCATGGCAAGTCATACTGGAGCAGCGGAGGCCGCAAGAGGCAGAGGCAGAGGAGCAGCCGTGCTGGGCTGCCCCTCGCGGCTGCCCATTGACTGCTCCTCTGCCTCAGGCAGAGGGGCTGCCCCTCGCGGCTGCCCATTGACTGTTCCTCTGCCTCCTGCAAGGGACAAAATTAAGGGGGTCATTCTTATACAATGGGGTTTTTTAAAAAACACAGAAAAATACGGTACCTCAGGAGAAGTTGAGTGCTCCAGCACTGGAAGCATTCAAGAAAAAACTGGACAACCATGTGTTAGATCTGCTTTGAATTGGATTCCTGTGTTGAGCAGGAGGTTGGATTCGATGGCCTTATTGGTCCCTTCCAACTCAATTATTCTATGATTCTAAACAAGTTTTTTAAAATAATAATGGGTAGGGGGGAAATCACTTGCTGGTCCGAGTCAGAAATCCTTGGTAATCTAGTACAATTGATGCAGAGATCGGTCATCTCCACACACACCCTTATATGCTAAGATTAGAAATGTTATTTTCTTACATGAGCTGAAGGTGGCTCTGATATAGCTCTCACCCTCCTAATTTTATTCTCACAAAAACTCTGTGAGGTGTGCCCAACTGAGAGAGTACAACTGGGCCCACTGTCCCAAAGATAGTGTGTGTAGCATGGCAACCTTC